AACAGTGTTTGGCATGGTAAGCACTCAACAGACATTAGCTTATTTTATTTTATTTTATTTTATTTTATTTTATTTTTGAGAAGGAGTCTCGCTCTGTCACCCAGGCTGGAGTGCAATGTCGTGATCTCAGCTCACTGCAACCTCCACCTCCCAGGTTCAAGCAATTCTCCTGCTTCGGCCTCCCAAGTAGCTGGGATTACAGGCCTGTGCCACCACGCCCAGCTAATTTATTATTATTATCATTATTATTATTATTTTGAGATGGAGTTTCACTCTTGTTGCCCAGGCTGGAGTGCAATGGCACCTTCTCAACTCACTGCAACCTCTGCCTCCCCAGTTCAAGTGATTCTCCTGCCTCAGCTTCCCGAGTAGCTGGGATAACAGGCTCGCACCACCATGCCTGGCTACTTTTGTATTTTTAGTAGAGACAGAGTTTCACCATGTTGGCCAAGATGGTCTTGAACTCCTGACCTCAGGTGATCCACCCACCCCAGCCTCCCAAAGTGCTGGGATTACAGACATGAGCCACTGCGCCCGGCTGCTTCTTTTATTTTAGTAAATAAATAGTGAGTTTAAAAGAAAACCCACATACTGTTTTTTCCTATCCACCACTCTGTAAGCAATGTGAGGATTCACTCATGCTTTGTGTGACCTTTCAAACACACCCACTAGGCTATGAGTCCCTTGAAACAGGGGCTATGTTCTGTTCATCTTTGTGTAGCCAACATGTTGTCTTATAAAAAGAAGGAACTTAATCAATGTTTGTTGAAAATTTGAATGAATGAATAAATGACTACTTGTTAGATTTAACTTATAGCTGACAAAGAGTGCTAAAAATAAATTAAAGTTTCCACCACTATCACTTTCCTTCCTTAAGAATAATACTAAAAATTAAATACTCTAGGGAATATGAACTATTAGGGCTGGTTAATATTTACCAGGAATTAATAATCTTATTCTACTTTGGGGAAGTAGATTTTCTCTGAAAGATTAGATGAAGCACCCTGGGTGTGGCATTTTAGGAATAGGGACACTTGTAACTGGTGCTGTGTCCCATGAAGTGTCATTACAGGGTCAGGGTTTGCAGAATGAAGAATTCTGAAGCCAAGACCTAGTGCCAACTACTCCTGTCTCTTGCCTTCTGGAAAAGCATGAGCTCCTTTACTGGTCAGTGGGCAGATGCTCAAATGTCCTCTGAAGTTACTCACTACACCCTTCCATTTGGACAATGAACCATGTTGCTAAAAGATGAAACCTGGACATCTGGCTTAATTAGGATGAAGTTCAGGTGAAGCTATCAGGAGTCAGAATGAGATGTCTCAATTGGATTGCCCCAAAGTAAGAGCCTGAGACAGCTTGAGAGGCGATACCAGAAAACAATGAAAGAGTGAGTAACAAAAGTAGGAAAGTAGGAAAGGGAAGGAGGAAAAGCCCATATCAGGATGCATTATTGAAGTCACTACTGTACTAAATGGAGGCTTCATTCCACCAGAGAAGCAGAAAAAAAAAAAAAGACCACCTTCAAGATGGGAGGTTGAAATATTTCTACATTAACTCCCTTCCCCCATTGTGGGGTAGTTTACTGGGGGTACCTCCCTCATATTTTTGGTCTGTGTTCATATGAAGGCCTAGTGAGCTTCTAGGGTGTCAGAAGAAACCTTGAAGCAGCATGCAGAAAGGTATGTGCTTGAGTTGGGGCCTTGTAAGTGCAAGCTGGCTCTAGATTTGCAAGGAACAGTCTGCCTCAGCAGCAGCTGAAATCTGAGGTAGGCCAAGCAGGTATTAGGGGTGTGATGCAGGCACTAGGGGCATCTTCCTTAAGGATCAGGCAAGAGCTTCCCTTCCCCTGAACTTCATCACTGGTTTCTTCTTCAGATAATGGCCATCTCCACTTCCTCACCTACCATTTTTTTCTCAATACACCATGATCAAATTTCAAACTCAATGAAGCTGAGTTGCTTTTTGATTATCATATTTATGATAGCCAAATCAGATGATCACTTCTCAGTTCTTATGTTTTAGAGTCGTTGGTATACAGGTGGCACTTACATCACAGGGCTGGATAAGACTACACGGAGGAGAGACAGAAAGAGAGAGAGAGAACTGAGCCCTTCAAAATCATAAAATCAGGGACATGAATAAAATCATCAAAAGATCCTTCAGTTTGTTGTTCCCTTCTCATGCTGCATATACTCTCTGGAATTCTCAAACTCATGACTTTTCCTATCATCTATTGCCAGGCCTTCTTGACATTCAGTGCCAAATCACCATCTGACTGCTAATATCTCAGAAACTTTCTATTCTACATATCCAAAGGACTACTAATTATCCCTCCCCAACCCACCAATGCAAAAGAAACTCCTTCTCCCATAAGTCCATTCTGATTTATAGAATCAGCATCTAGACAGGAACTTGAGTCAGAAACTTGGGTGTCATCCTAGTCTACTTCATCTCCTTCTTACTCAATGTCCAGTTTCCACCAGCATGCTTATTCTACCTCTTTAACATTTCCTCCTTCACATCCATCCCCTCTGCTCCACCCCAGTGTTACAGGCGTGGATCAGGACCTCATCATTTTTCAGTAGAATTAATGCCATCATCTCCTAACTAGACTTTCTCCCTCCAGTTTTATTCATTCCTTCTTATCTACCAACTATCCAACTGCTGAAATAATGTTTATGCAACACAATTAGATCATTGTACACTTCTTTCCATTGTTCTCTAGAAAGTCAGGTGCAAATTTCTAGGCATGCCTTGGCCGCTCAAGTGATCACTATCCTAATGTGTCATTCAACAGTATCATAAAAAACAGCCTGAGTTGGACTTCATTCAACACACAGTAAGTTTCTGAATAAAGAATATGAGAAGGAAAAGTGAAAGTTAAATTAGGCGTCTGATGGATTATCAAGAAGTTGTTACAAATAGCTTTATCACCTTACTGAGCTGCAAAGAATTCATTACTTTCTTATAATGATGCATTTTTAAAAATGCAATGTTTGTGAAGCAGACATAGCACCCACTGTAACAGTCCGGTGTATGAAAATCAAAGCTAAGGTATTAACCCAGTTTACAGTTTAGGGAGAATATCACTTGTGGGTGCACATACACATTTGTTTATGCATCTTTCTCACCTACTAGACTGAGAATTGTTTGCTTGGGGAGGGGTCTTATTTATTCCTATTGCCAGCATAGTATGACAGGCATTTTAATAATGCTGCTTGGTGAATAGGAAGTTTTGCCATATTTTTCTTAGGTTGTGGTATCACATAAAAGCCATCCAAGTGAGTCCAAACATGGTAGTTATTCAGTAAAGGTTTTGATGAAGAGATCAGAAAGATCTTGTTTACAATTAGAGTCAACCCAGTTCTGATGACCATTTGACAGCCCAAAATTTCAGAGACAACTGTGCTAAGATGCTTCATAAATGGATCATGTCAGTACTAATATAAACAATTGGTGCTCTTAAATGAGGAGAAATTGTTTGAATTACAGTGATTGCCTCATTCCTGTGAATTCCCTCAGCAGCAACACAATCTGTTCACCCAAAAGAGGCTTTTGAAAAGCATCCCACATTGCAAGGCAATGCTTGATATGATGAATATAAATTCACTCTGAAACATCTGTTAAGGTACAGCTTCTACAAGGCAGAAATGATTTCTTTAAGAGTAGTGAAATACATGGAAGTACTTCTCTGTTATCCACATATTGTCTGACATTGAAAACCTCCTGGTCTCCTCAAACAATATGCAGCAACAATAAAGGAAAGGGGAGAGGTAGACCAGGGTTAGCATTTACTGAATGCCAGATATTGGTGTGTGAAGCTGTTATTTCATTAGTGCTTAAATGCATTATGCCTTTTAATCCTTGTGATAACTAATTGTAATTTATTGAATGTGCTCTTCTCTTTCATGCCTCTGTCATTTGACATACCTTCTGTATTCTCTTCTCCTTCTAGTAAAATGTTGCTGGTTCTTTAAGACACAGATCAGGTGTGCTTATATATACACCTACTATGTACCCACAAACACTAAAAAATAAAATAATATAAATTTTAAAAAGACACAGATTGGGTGTCATTGATTCCAACAAGCCATCTCCAGTTCCCTCCAATGCCTTGTCTATGCTCCCTCTGCATCCTGTCTATATCTCTTGTATTGCAATGCACACTGTCTTAAATGTCTGTTTCTCTTTGAGGAATAGGAAATTCTTGAAAATAGGGTCAATATACCTCTGGCAACTAAAACAGGAACTCTTCCTGAGTTTGGGCTTGCTGACTGCAGATCTTGAAACTTTTCAGCCTCTACAATCATATGAGCCAATTTCTTATGAAAAATCTGTCTGTCAATTAATCTATCATCAATCTATCTACCTATCAATCATTTATCTATCAGTCTATACATCCATCCTATTAGTTCTGTTTCTCAGGAGAACCCTGATTAATACACATGCCTTTTATTGAAGTGCAGTACGTAAGTTTGCCCTCAACATTTTACCAAAATAATAGATTTTAAATAAGGATCATTGGCTTAAGAATTCTGCCTCAAATCTTGGGTGAACAATGCAATTTAAAAAGCTTTATATAGAGAATGTCAAACAATTGGCTACCATGGAAACATACTCTTTATATGACTCAAACATCTGGACTCATATAGTATTTTACTCCAACAAATGGGAAAACAGAAGCTTTCACCCCTTTCTCCAGTTAACCTGAAGAGCTTTAAAACTACTAGATTTTAAGCTGCTACCTTCCCAATCTGTCAAGGAAGCATTATATGATAGATTTATGAACTGCTGTATAACCCAGAATTCTTAATTTGTGTAGTAAATTGTACTTTTCACTTCACAGCACCACACAGTACACAAATTCCTAGTTTCACTGCATCAGTGCCCATGAGAAGTCGGATAACACAGTCACTACATGCGTGTTAATGAGGTTTCCACGGTTGATTCTTCTTTCCTCCTTCATTCACCTGCAAGGACTTATGGAGGGCTCCAATTCCTTGACTTTTAAACCTTCACTGTTTTATATCCATCAGCTTGATACAGGCTGGCACCTCTTGGGAGACAACATAATATTCATCATCAAGATCCCCCTTCTCTTGAAATGATTTTCATCTTGACATTCAATGTAATCTGTTTCCTTCATTTTCCTAACATCTCTCAAAATACCTCTGCTTTGTTACCTGAGCTGGATCTTGTTATCTTCCCCTCAACTGTTAACCATCAACATTTGCAAGTCAAATTTAATTCTTAGACTTTTTCTCTCAATAAAATCAGATAACATATGTATATCAATCAGGATTTGGCCATAAAAACAGAAACCACTCTAGGTATTTTGAGCAGGAAGAAATTTGTCGTAGGGAATTAGAAACTTACACAACTCCTGGGAGGGTTGGAGGAGAGAAAATCAGGGAAATTCATCAAAAAGTACAGGAGTCACAGGAATTGCCACCAATGGCCTCAGAAGCATGCAGTGCTAAAATAGGCAAATTTCAGGGGTCCATCTGCAGCCCCTGTCACCTGCCTCCAACTACCACTGGAAAATAATAGCCTTTTAAATTGTACCCTCATCAACAGAATGAAACTGGAACCCTGATGACAAGGCATTTGGGAGATGTATTTTAGTTTCCACTCTTTCAGTACCTGTAGTACAGGGGAGATCTTAAAAGAGCTGGGATATTACTCAGTGTCCACAGAGGGCCTGTGGCACAGTATGTGAACATGCTCAGTAAAACTCTAATGTGCCAAAATTGCAGAGCCAGCACTGGTTATGACAAGATCCAAACAAAAGCATTTGGCAGTAGCAATGAGGCATGAATGAGTGAGTGGAAAGAGTAGGACAGGGAAGGAGGGAAAGTCCATCTCAGGATGCATTATTGAAGTCACTGCTGTACTGAATGGGAGCTCCATTCCACCAGAGAAGCAGAAAAATGGCCACCCTCAAGATGGGAAGTTGAAGTATTTCTACATTGGTTCCTTTCCCCTATTGCGGGGGTATTTCTAGGGGTACTTCCCTCATATTTTTGTTCTGTGCTCACACAAGGGCCTAGCAAGCTTCTGAGATGTCAGAAGAGACCTTGAAGCAGCATGCAGAAAGGTGTGTGCTTGAGGTGGGGCCTTGTAAGTGCAAACTGAGTCTAGATTTGCAAGGAACTGCCCATCTCAGCAGCAGCTGAAATCAGAGGTAGGCCAAGCCGGTGTGATGCCGGTATTACGGGCACCTTCCTTAAGAGTCAGCCAAGAGCTTCCCTTCCCCTGAACTTCACTACTGGTTTCTTCTTGAGATAATGGCCATCTTCACTTCCTCACCTACCTTTTTTTCTCAACCAAAAATGATCAAATTTCAAACTCAAGCCGAGTTGCTGTTTGATTATGATATTGATGATAGCTAAATCAGATTGTCACTTCTCTGTTCTTATGTTTGAGAGTCATTGATATACAGGTAGCATTTACATCATGGGGCTGGATAAGACTACCTAGGGATTTCTGGATTATAAAATATGTGGTGCAAGACTGAACCATATTGCATAAGCGAACAGAGGCAGGGAACAGCCTAGGCGGTGATTAACAGAGCCTCTAAATGTCCATCTGAATCCCAATATCTGTTCTTCCAACCTGCAAAAATATGACATTTGGAAGCCATTCCTCTGTGTCTTGAGAATGTTCTATTTTCTAGAACCTGCAATTTGCTAGGAAATATCCTGGGCTTTCATTAACAAATGTCAAAGCAGAAGTAATTAGCAGCCAATAGAGCACAAGATAGTTAGACAAATGGGCCATGGATTCTATGTAGGTAAAAGGCACCACCAGAGGTGATTAAGGATGGCCACTCATTACAAGTTTGTCCTACTTCTCAATCCACTGTAGGTCCTGTGTGAATACTATTCCCATATCCCACGACTCTGAGTCATGCTTCTTTATTTCTCTTGCATTCATTTTCATTGTCCCTCCATGGCTTTTCCTTTCCATAGGGAAAGATAGAGCAACTCTAATCTTGACTAGGTCAGGGTTAGAATGTTGTTTGAAAACTCTTTTATCACCCAGCCAGTCCACGACACGAGTTAGGACTCATTCAAGTTCCTTATTTGAACAGGAGCTAAAAATAATACTAATTAGGAGGAGGAGGACATATATTAGTGCATACAATATACTACGATTGAAATGTAATACATGAATATTAATTGATAACATATTGACATTTTAGTGTAAGATTATTCGAACACAGGAGCTCCAAATGTGGGTGGATGCTTTTCCAGGTGTTGCAGAGCCTTGCTGTAAACCTTCCCTGATCTTGGCTGCCCCTTTTGTATCCACAAGGAAGATGAAATCAGGAAAGAAACGAGTCATTTCCATGAAACAATCTGAAATGCAGAGCAGAGTTGTGTTTGAAAATGTGTCAGAGGAGACAAAATGGCATGCCTTTTCCTCCGTTCTCTACCTGGCCACTTCGGATCCTCCGTAAAGACCCTCATCTCTGCGAGCCTGACACTCCTATGCAGTTATGTGCACCATCCTTTACAGTGGAGCTTCTCATTCTTAGCACTACTCACTTTCTGGGCCAGATAGATCATTCTTTGTCACGGGCTATCCTGTACATTGTAAGATGTTTAGCAGCATCTCCAGCCTCTATGCAGTAGATGCCAGAAGCACCCTCCAGTTGTAACAACTGAAAGTATCCCCAGATATTGTCAAATGTCCCCTGGGAAGGGGCCGAGTAGCCCTCAGATAAAGACCACTGCAGACTCAAGAATTGAGTGAGCCCAAGAGAACCCTAGACGATTCCATTATAGTGTACAGAGCGGAAAAAAGGCTGCGTGGTTAAATGTTGGTTGTAAGCATTGAACTTAGACCACTGTCAGATGTGGTTGGAGTCCAAATTAACAACTAAAACAGAACTATGGGTCTCATATTTCTCAGCATAGGGGGCATGATCAAGCAGGCCCTTTTCCTTTATTTGAATAAGGCCTTTGGGCAAATGCATTTTTGAATAGCCAATCACTAAACACATTTCTCTGGGTACCTGAGAGGAAAAAAATCAGCATTGGTATGGGTTCTGTGCTGTGTTCACACATCTCCTTCAGCTTTCATTTTACTCTCAGCAATGACAAGCCAATTCCAGTCCATTTGTGACCTGCTAATGGGGTGCATTTTCCTATTTATCTGCTTTCGCGTTCTTCAGGGCCTCTTTGAGAACACTCCCTGATTGCTCTCCAATCATTTCCTACTCCTTTGGAGAACATTGAGTATTAATTCAAGCTTGTCAAATCTTATATGATATATTCCATTCAGGAGCTAATACTTCATCAACCTTACCTGGCACTGGAAAATTCAATTTCTCAAGATACCAGCTGTTATCCTGGAGACCTTGCACATATGTTTGCAACAGCTAATAGAAACTCAGTTGTTTTTTTTTTTTTACTGATCTCCCTGCCTGAAAGAAAAAAAAAAAAGCTTCGTTTAACTTTCTGTGTAGCTGTCTTTGTCACCACCTTGAGATTTTGACCTGCTATTTAGAATTGCAATTTAGAATTCAGAATTGCTACTCGGAATTGCAATCTGTGCTGTGAGAGTTAATTGCAACACTTACAGAATTGGCCTAAGTTACTCTGTTGAAATAAGAAATGCACCTGTATCTATATGGCACTGATCTCTGGCCAAGGCATGAAACCCATTGGTTAACAGTGCTGCCGTGTAACCATGGGTATGAGGAGTTTGGGGAGGTTTGTACCAGCTTGTCAGCATTGTTTATTGATAACAATGAGATTGGTGATCTGCACCTGGTCAGGGTGAGCCCCCCCGCCCCCACCCCTCAGAGGTCTCTGCTGCTTAGGCTGGTTACATAGCAGAGTATGTATATGTAGCCAGCAAAATAAATATGTTCTTTAAAAATTTCCAGTCAGTAATCCCAGCACTTTGGGAGGCCGAGGCAGGCAGATCACAAGGTCAGGAGTTCAAGACCAGCCTGGCCAACATAGTGAAACCCCGTCTCTACTAAAAACACAAAAATTAGCTGGACGTGGTGGCGCATGCCTGTGGTCCCAGCTACTCGGGAGGCTGAGGCAGGAGAATCGCTTGAACCTGAGAGGTGGAGGTTGCAGTGAGCCGAGGTTGTGCCACTGCACTCCAGCTTGGGCCACAGAGCGAGACATCGTCTCAAAAAAGAAAAAAAAATCTTCAGTCAAAACTCCATTTTGGGTTTCCAGGTTCAAGGAGATACTGGCTGCTGATCAGAAAGCAAGAGTGCATCCTACCAGGGCCCTTATGGAGGGAAGACAGTCCTACTCTTGATCTCTCCAATCCCTTGTTACCAGGTAGCCCTTGGCTGTGATGTATAGCCTTATATTAAGGCTCTTTCTCAATTGTATCCCTTTCCTGTAATAAACTCCAGATATTTAAGCACTGTCATTTAGGGTCCTGTGAGTATTTTTTTAGCAATCAAGTGCTGTTTCACTGCCACCATCATTAGTGCACAATCCCTACCCCCAACTCTTCCTCCTCCTTGTCTCTAGGTTGCTTGTCTCTGTGGCACCTATAACCACCTGACATATTATATTTTTTACTTGCTTATTTTGTTCATCATATTACATATGTATTTGTTACTTTGCTTATTATTTCTATTATTGTCTCACTGGGAGACTCCATGACAGCAGGGTTTCTGGCTTAATTTTTTTTTTTTTTTTTTACTGCATTATCTTCATTGTCTGTACAATAGCAAATATGTGATGGATAAACGAATGAATTCAAGAAAAATGCAGAGTCGAAAAATCGCTTTGAGTTCAAGGCTGTTTTGGCCCAGCTCTGAGACTGAAAATCAATACACAGAAGCTTAGAAAGATGGACAATGATAGAGCGTGTGTTCACCTGCTGATTATACTCAAGTCAGTTATCATAAGGAACAGAGATGTTAACTGATGGTCAGCTGCAGTAGGAATTGATGCACCTAATCTACATTGACTCAAGACCAAAAACTGATGTCCATGAAGGGTGGCAAGTGGCTAAGAGCTTCTCTTTCTGACGGTTATTTCAGCCTCTGAAGGTAATCAGAGTCACCCAGGTATGGTATCTCTTTCAGGTCCTCTAATACTTTCAGAAGCACTTGTTTTTTCAGGGACTTTGCTTGAGGGCTGGGAGAACAGAATGACTGGCAATTGGCAAGCACCACAGGGGTTTTCAGTCAGGGACACTAGCAGTGAGTTTGGGGGATCTCAAAATGTGATGGTAAGCTGCTTCGATGGACCACTGATACAGAGATTTGGCTTCTTATCACTGAAAACACAACTCTGTCGAAGCCTCCATTTGGACTGATAGTCTGGAAAATACAGTTTAACTTTGAGTGCTACCCTGTTGAATAATAACCAAGTCCTTCTTTGCTCTAGAGTAATGATTTCCTAAGATTTATCTGTATCAGGGTAATCTGAGGAATTTTTTTAAATATAGAGTCTGCCTTTCCTCTCCACTCCCCACCCTGATTGGGATTCTAAATCATCAAGTCTATGGCCTGGGGAATCAGTATTTTTCCAATTTCTGTGTGTGATTTTACAGTTTGGGAACAACTGCTTTGAATTGTATTTAAAAGATTAGCAAATTCAAAAGTGATTAGTGATGTCAATGATCAAATTATATTCATTTTTTGAAATGGGAAAATCCCATTTCCAATGTCAAAGCAGTGAACTCCTTTCAGAGGCGACTGTTTGCTCCAGGTTTCCTGAGTTTGCTAACATCTTGTTTCTGTCTTCCCATCAGTGTCCTATTGTTTAAACTCCCAGAAGGAGAGTAGAGAAGATGAAAAGCAAAATACACAATGCTCTAGGTCTTGAACTCCTGGACTCAAACGAACCTCCTGCCTCAGCCTCCAAAAGTACTGGGATTACAGGCGTGAGTCATGGCACCTGGCCACACAATGCTACAGGTTTGCTGTTGAGTTGGTTGGGAAGAAGCTGCTGGCCGGTTGTTTTCATAAGCTGTTGGGAAGGAAGGGAAGGGGACAGGTGGTAAATAATTTTCCCAAGAGTAAAATAACCAGTAATTGGAAGAGTTGGGTATAGAAGCAAGATCTTTTCACTAACATGCCACACCCCCACCCGAATACCAGCTTCCTTCAACAATTCTGTACTGTCACAATAAAAAACTGAAATAGTAGTCAGTCACACACAATTTACCTAGAGTGGTCAAATGAAGTCTCATCAAATTATACAGCTTGGAGTTTGTGACCAGCCTGGCCAACATGGTGAAACACCATCTCTACTAAAAATACAAAAATTAGCTGGGTCTGGTGGTGCGTGCCTGTAATCCCAGCTACTTGGGTGGCTGAGGCAGGAGAATCGCTTGAACCTGGGAGGCAGAGGTTGCAGTGAACCAAGATCGCGCCATTGCACTCCAGCCTGGGGAGAGCATGAGACTCCGTCTGAATGAATAACTAAATAAATAAATAGATAAATAAATAAATAAGAAACTTTATCCTTAGCTTGTGTTTAAGCTATAAAAGTGAGGCACACCTTTGTGTGAGGGACATCATCAAAACATCTCCCTTAACTCTCCCCACAAGCTGGGTATTCTTCTGAAGCAATTAACAAAATCCAGCCTCATTGTACATAGTCTAACTGTCCCCAGAAGGCAGTCATGACTGGAGTCCGTGGTATTGGCTCTTAAAAGCTGGTTGTGCAAATTTGTTCCCAAATTTTGCCTTCGATTATGTCATGTTGGTAGCTTGAAATTGGCCATTGTAGGCATTTCTACACCACAGAAATTGGCAAACACTACAAACCAAGTGCTTGTAATTTTGTACTGGAGATTTGGATGTTAAACATTTTACCAGCACACCACTACTCAACGACTAGTGTCCATGACAAAATGTCATTATGTTGCCTCTGGTGGTCAGGTAAAGTATGTGATGAAGTGCTTTCTATATTGAAAGCAGCTATATATCATATATTGTTCTGTTATTCTCATTGGGGGAAACAAGCGTCCTCACTGATTTCTGAGTCATTCTTCTTGTGACTAACAAACTAATTCAGAGAAGCTCATTATTCCATGACACTCCACTTAAAAAGAGACCTTTGCCCTCTATGACAAGCCTAAGAAGATGAAAGTTTACAGAAAAAGCTGTTTGTTTTAATGACTTCTTTCAGCACAGTACAGTTGGAAGTCTCACATCAAGCCCAAGTTTTTCTCTCAAAGTAGCTGTCTCCAGTCCTGACCTAGAGTGGAAATCACATGAGACACAGAAATTCGCAGCTCAAGGAAAATTATCTGCCAGCATCATTGAACAACCAATTTAGCATCACTGCCACTGGTGGGGAGCCACAGTAGAGCAGCTGCCTTCAATCCACAGATTATTGAGCTAAAGACAGAGAACTGCTTATTCATTAATCAGAGTGAACAATGTCATCATTGACCAGGCAAGGGAAAGAGTATATTTAAAGCCTTGGAAACTGACAAATCAAGATTCCCACTGGTCAAAGTCTTTCCAGATCCCTGGTGTAGTGTCTTCCCTGTAGCTGGTACTGGCACACGTTTGGTTCTTCCTCTTGTCTGCTGCTAAATCCCCAGAGTACAGAGTACATTTTCACTAAACCCAACTAACACAGGCAGCGATTGGATCAGAAGAGCTTATTAATGAACCAAAAGGCACAACAGGGACTGCTTACATCACTAACTGTTGGTAGCTAGGGGCTGTGCAGGAAACGTTTTTTTAATTTTTTTAAATCACCAGCAGTTAGGTCCAGAATATAACTGATAACAGTCACATTTGAATTACATTTCTACAAACACCACAGTTAATGTCAGTTCTGGAAAATGCAGGGAGGAAAACCACCAAGGTGATGCTCTAGTTAATAAAAATATTCAAAGGAAACCATTTTCATCTCAAATGATTACTCTTAGCTTTGTCTGAGAGAATATCTAGACTATCCTTGGATGGCAAATGACTCCAGCTACCCTTGCTATTTGGGTGTTAGTCCTTTCCATTAAAACTAGAAAAGTGTATCTGTTGCAGACTGTATAGCGTCGGCCCTCCATATTCATGGGTTCTGCATCCAGAGATTTCAAAAATATTGAAAAAAAACAGTTAACACGTAACAATTAAAAATACAGTATAATAACTATTTATGTAGTATTTATATTGTATTAAGTATTTTAAGTAATCTAGAGATGATTTAAAGTACATGGGAGGATGTGCCTAGGTTATATGAAAATCCTGTATCATTTTATGTCAGGGACTTGAGCATCTGTGGATTTTAGTATCCAACAGTGATCCTGGAACCAATTCCCCGAGGATACTGGAAGAGGACGGTACCTGTTGGCTCTGTTTCATTTAGGTTCCTGCCAGCAATGATCTTCCAACGAGTAAAGGCTGATTTGCATCTATGCTGCTCTCTCCATAGTCTCTTCTCCTTATGACAAGTGGCATGAAGGACTGCTGA